CTTTTTATTGTAATTAATCGGGATTACTTACTTATATAAAATAAACAATTATAAAATTACCTGTATTATAAAAATTTAATAAAATGTTAACAATCGGGATATGCTATTTATATAATAAGTAATAATAAGAATATCCCTATTGATGACTTAGGAATAACCTGATTGGAAACTGTATATTAATAAATTAATATCAATTAGAATAACCCTATTGATATCTTTATAACACCCTGATTAGAACCTTATTATATCCTATCTGCGTCATTAATCGTCATCAATAAGGATCACCTGATTCTAAAAAAACAAAAAATAAGGGACCAATCAGATAAAATCTGGCAATCCAGATTTGACCCGATTGGTCTCCTATTTGTTATCGTTCAACTAGTGTTCTTAAAATAGGTAAAAAAGAATTTGAATATTATGAAATATTAGAAAAGACTTGCAGACTTTGCTAAGAGGTAAAAAGGAAGGTTTTTTCAATATATTGCAATTTGAGAGAGGTATTGGCAAAATATAATATTGACTCTAATAGTACAGTATCTCATTATTTTTCTTATAGCCCTATAAAATTCAAGATAATAATATGTATTTCAAGTATTATATAAATAATATTTTATTTCAGATAAAGCATTATGGATCTTAGATTGTAAATAGTAGAGTTTCGCAAAATCAAATCAAATCAAATCAAATATTTGATGAATCAAATTAAATCAAATCAAATATTTGATGAATTAAATCAAATTGAATCAAATATTTAATGAATCAAGTTAAATTAAATCAAATCAAATCAACCAAACTAACCAAACTGAATCAAAATGATTAAATATATATATATATATATTTTTAAAACGTAGTGAAGCATTTATTTATTAAAAAAACATTTTCATAAAGAAAATCCAAAAATGGATACATAAAGTAGAAAATAAAGTAAATGCTACCTAACCTTCATCAAAGGATATTGCCTTCTTCAATCAAACCAACCAGTTGTCTTACTGTATTCAATTTAAAAAAATTAATTAAATTCATATTATAAAAATTTTTTTAGTTAAATTTTTTTATGTTTATATTTTTATATTTAATAAGATTTACACAATTGGAACTTTATATTTTTTTCAAAAAAAAAAACCACTATTATCCTAATACTCTTTTTTTTATTATTATTAACCATTATTATTTCTCAAATTATGCAAAAAATTAAAACATATCAGACTTAGTGATACCTGACTAAACTCTTTTTTGAAAAATAGTAATTTCGTCAAAAGTTTCATATCTTTAATATTATTATATGAATAAATGGGAGCTTTGTAATAGAAAGAAAGAAAATTCTAAAAAAATTTTTTTTTGAGTTAATATTAAATCTGGACTTATTTTACAAAAAAAAATCATAATTAGCTTAGAAAGTAAAATTTTAATTTTTTTAGAGTTTCCTTCCTTTCTATTGCAAAGCTCCCATATGTGCTTATTTGATTAATAATAATGAAATAATTACTCAAACATGTAAAAGATAAAAAAGGCAAGAACATTGGAAAAATTGATTAGAAATATGTACGCAAATAAAATAATTTTCAGTCTGTCCATGTATTTATTTATTATATAATTAATTTAATAATATTTTATTACTAAAAATTTTTTGTATTTTTAGAACAATTGGCAATTGCAAATATAACTCCTTTATTTTCTCTTATTACTACATTATTTGTTATTGTTATTTTTGGTATTCAATTACATGTAGCAAGAATAATCGCGATGTATGAACAAAAAGACAAATTTCATTCTTATGTAGTTCGATCAGTTACAGATATTTAAGAATTGTCATATATATTCTTACAAGTATATACACATATTCAAGGTCAAATTATTATAGATTTTATTATAGATGAATTTGATAATTTTTTTCTTTTTTCACATTGTGATTTGAAGCATATTATTTATAATATTAGAACTACTAATATGCAATTAGAAGAAAATATTCTTTATTTAAAAGAAATAGCTAAAACTATATTTTTAACTCTTAATGATATTAAAGTACGTGATATTATAGTCAAATTTTAATTATAAATATAATATAATAAATCACTTATCGGGTATACTTTATATAATGCTATCAGCTTCTCCCTAATATTATAATTTAAATTTGTATCAGTATCTTAATAAAAAAAATGTATAATTGATTATATAAAAAATTTTTTTTGACACATGACCTATTTTAAGAGTTTCCAGAGTTCTTACTAGAGCTCTGAATCAGGTCAGGTCAACCTATGACCTGACCTGACCTGACCTGAAAAATCCAGGTTGGGTAGACAAATTTTCAGGTCAACATCAGGTTGGGTTCTTTGTCTGATCTCATTACTAAACTTTTTCTTTTATTCTTCATCCAAGAAAGCATGTTTGATTTCAGAGTCAGATATTAAATCATTCTCAATGAAATTAGTTTACAGGGGTGGGTGGTTTCTTCGAGAACACGATCCCGGGTCATTTTGTGAGTTATTATATAAAGTGCTATTTTCCGGATAAGAAATAGGTTCTAAGACTTCTTGTTCTTTTATAATAGGTGCTTCAATCATATCAGAATTATGATTCAAGGGTTTAGTATTCTGCGAAGCTTTTATCTGAGAAACATCATTTCTCTCTTTAGCTTTAGTTGTAGGACATTCAAGACAAACACTATTGATCATGCGTCTATCTGTAAGAATAGTAATATTTTTTTGTTGCAGATTTGTGAAAATAGATTCATGGCATTCTGGGCATAAAAGCAATTCATGAATTCTTCTGGCTAAAATATCTCTAAAAGCTTCTAATGTAATACATATAATACGATCCATTCTAGTGGCGAATTTATTATATTTATATATTGTTTAAGTAATAAAATCGCATTACTCCAAGAAAAATAAAAATCATGTGACAGCGTGAGCACTTTTGCCAAGAAAATTTTTTAATAGTAGTATGATGTAACACGAAAAAAAATAAATCTTCCTAACTCATGATTTCGGAAGGTATATGTTGAATCTATATCCCATAATCTACTATAATCTATTTCAAAAGATGTTGACGGATTTTGATAAGATCCGTTATCACCACCTTTCTTTCATCTGGTTCAGCAAGATTTAGACCAGTCACTTTACCATTTTCCTTTGGCCACCTTTTAATCACGATTGACTGCACTTTTGGCAGTTGTTCACCAAGTTCCTCCCAGTATAATATGGGAATTTCTGCTCGGTAAAATGTAACATAGGTAGAAATGACATGGAAGGCAAAAGTTCTTGATCAACATAGATATTAATCATATTCTCATATCTGCAGGCAAGCATTTCAGCAACGATTTGCCATTCTCCAAAACCAGTCAAAGGGTAGATATTTTTATTTTTCAAGTGTTTATCCTGTTTAAAAAGTTGTCTGTATGAATTATAATAATTTAAATTTATCAAACATCAAAACATAAATAATACCTCTACAACTATCAAAGCAATTTTTTTTTTATTAACCACAAATTCAGGTTCTGCTGACACAGACTCATTACTCGTGATTAGTTTAAGTGGTGGTTCAATTCTGGGATTTAAAATAAGAAAATTTAGAAGTATTTAAGGCACCACACAAAACAACATGGTTAGATTACCCACATAACTTTAAAGGGCCAAGCATTAAAGTTGACTACATGAAGTAGCAGATCGTTTACTAGTGTATCAGTTGTAGATTCGCTTGTGCCTATATAGAGACCGTAATTCTTGACAACATTATGCAGTTTATCGACAAATGTTCTGACATGGTCGTCTTCAATTTCGAGGCTTTCAACATTGAATCTTATAGAAGCAAGCAAATCGTGATTGACCTTGGGGAGAACATAACGTTTTGGAATAGTGACTAGACAATATTTAAGTTATTTGTTATATTAGGAGATTTGCTAACATAATGTAATAAAATAATTTGTACCTTTAACATCAGGTATTACTTCGTACTTATCAACTGGCTCAAAACTCACTCGCAGTGCATCAGCATGTCGTTTAGAGAACTTAGACGCATATGTAGGGAAAAATCTACCCGAATCATCAGTAGGAGGGGAGTCATATACAGGCTTGTCTTTTCTAAATCTTTTTTGTGAAGTTAGGAAAAAGGTTTTTGACTGGAGAGTACGTAATGCAGGGCAAAAAATTCTCGCAACTAGACAAGACATTTTAAAATATGAAGAAAAAACATGTACTGCCTGTTCCTAGGCAGTAGATAAATCAATACTCACGTGATTTTAATGGTATTGGTCGGTCTAGGTCACACAAAAATCGATCGATTTTGCAATATTTATCTGCAATTTAAAGTAGAATTACATGTTTCTGGAATAACAATTTCTGGGTTTTGGTCATACCATACTTCAATAAGAAAAATTCCATTATCTAGACAAATGCATCTTTTTTGTCGATCATGATTAATGATGTGCTTGAGTTTTTTGACATCTTTATACCAGCTGGTGCTATAAAACTGGCATTTTTGAAAGAAGGCATCAAGCTCTAATCCATTCAAGAAAGGGCGATATTCAATAATAGGTTTCTCATTAAGAATTTTCTTAGCTATCTGAATACATCTAGTCTGGAATTTGCGATTTTTCTTAGTTTCTGATTCTTTTTTTTGAGTTCATCAAAATACTTCTGAGCTCAGCAGTCTCAGCTTCGTATTTGGCTTTCTTTTCCACAACCTGCTTTAAAAATTCAGATGGCATGTTTGATAAATTTTATACAAGAATGGAATATTCAAAAGTTCGTTAAAACAGTCTAAAAAAATTGGTTATGCTGGGAAAAAAGAAAGAAACTATATAACAATCTAGTCTATGTGAGTATGTAATTCATCTAATAATTCTCTTAGGCGGTTACAGGAGAGATAATGGGACTCATCATTTGAAAGGTTTTTCTTTCGTATCCTCCATTATGATAGTAATAACCTTTATCATGTTCACCATATTCATTATATCCACTGTATCTATTACCATCCGAATCATCTAGCATCTCTCCTTCAGAATTACTGTTATGATTACAGTTACTATAATTGTCTGTCTTAACTGATTGTGAAACAACTTCTTCATTCGTTTCTTTCACTGACTAAGATGCAGAATCAAAATACACATAATCTTTCTCACAATCTTCTAAGAGCATTTTGTGGTAATCATTTTCAGCTTCGAGGAATTGCTTGGGCTAACTTCTTTTAAAATTATCAGAAGAATTAGAGTCATGGGTTAAAGAAATAGATGCTGTTAATTCGCTTACCTCAGCTGAAACCAAAAGATTTGCTCGCATCTCTGACGTATCACTTTGACTAGAAGAATCATCGTTAATAAAATTGTCTTAATCCTCACTGAAATCTGTACTGGACTGATTTGAGAAATGATTCATAATCTTTTGGATTTCATCATAAGTAAACTTTGATATTTCATTCACATTATACGATTTGATATACTAGATTTTATCTAATCCTATTTTTTCGAGAAGTTTGTAAATTTTCTCAGCTCTCTGAGTTTTTTTTGCGTAAACCATTTCTTGTTATGTCTGAGAGTAGCATCCCTGTATCTTGAGATCTTTCTTATGAAGGATATTAACTTGCTTCACAACTTTATCACATATTAGACCTCTTACCTTCTTTTCGCTAATTTTATTTTTAACAAACAAGGCCTCCAACTGAAATATGAAATTTTTTCCAGCAAAATATTTCTTCTTGATTTGCTTTCAATCTGTGCTCTTCCGTAATAAGTATCCTACCTCTGATCTAGTGATTCATAATCAAAAAATAGTAACTGGGGGTAGCAAATCACATAAGAAAAGAAATGGATAAATCACTAATAGTCTATTCTCTATAAACTATAATAATGAGACTGAAGTTTCCAAAATGATTTATCCTGAAAAAGTTACCTATAATAGTATAAATGATGCACGAAAACATGCAAGATTATATGGTCCAGATGCTCTACCTATAAATAAAATAAAAAAAAGTTCAATGTTTAAGTAATGTACAAGAACAATTTATTATTTTTTTTCAAGATCGTGAAAATGTAGTTATGAGTTCTTACCATATAGATGCAAAAACAGGA